TGCTGGCAGCGGCTCAGCTCCTCCGTAAGAGAGGAGCAAAAAGTAACCAGCTGTGTCAGTCAACCAGTGGCTAATCACCTTTGGTCAAAACAACTAAATATACAGCAAAGTTGATGCTGACAATATGATGAGTTGTTTATTGCTGGCTAGGTGGACTGGACTCAGGGGAGGTTACAAAAAACCAGGTGACCTAAAAAAAGTAGTAACACTTGCAAGACGTTTGAGAAAACACTGCATTGATGAAACCACCTGCCTGAGAAGCTGCTCCGTTACTAAAGGCAGAAAGGGACATTAATTGCTTCCGAAATTAAGTCCGATAAATCTGAAGTTTGATAAAGGGCTTATATTATTTGGTACCTGTGGGAAGCTGGTCACATTACACAACAGCTTCTTTGCAAGCTCCTGATGACTACTGTATGGTCAGTAATGCAGTATTCATAGACGTACATACACAAGTAGAAACCCAAGTTATTCAAACATACAGTTGAATGACACAACTTGTTGCTATTTGAGATTTTATGTGGCAGTTGAGATGATGATGGAAAAAGCCATTTGGCTTCAGTGTCACTGTACCTGCATCTAGTGAGATGATTACTTAGCACTTAATGTGTAAGTAACGTTAGTGTAAGAAAAACTTTCACCCTTGTGTGACAGGCTGGGCCATATCACAATTCTTGGTCTATACAGGTTTTGCCTTTTCATGTCTCTCAAAGGCACTGTCATTGTTTTCCATTCCTCTCTCCATGAAATACTTCTGCCATTCCACAGTGAACCCATTCAAGGAGTTTTTCTGTACAGCAATTTTTTGGGGGTGACTGGTTGATTGGACATACATCTTACTGATTTTAACTCACATGAAATGAGGCTCAGGATTATATTCACAGAATGCATTTTGGGGATGAGGAGTTGAACTGACTATGAAAATTTAAAAAAAAAAAAAAAAGTTGTTAGAGCTAGAAGCATCAAGGAGCTAGAGACCATAAAAGGGGACAGAAGCATGTCTCTGAGATGGCACATAAAAAGATCCTTTTTGAAAGAGTGAACAATGGAACAACAGGGTCAACTTAAGAGGTGACACAGATGACTTTGGTCAGTAATTTACTGATCAGAAGTGCAGGGTAGATGCTGCTTTTCTTTGGATAGTAGCCTGCCACGGGGTAATCAACTTCACAATCTTGCTTTTCAATTTAGACTCTTGGTTTTGCAGCTTTATCACAAGAGGGACTTCAGATTTAAATCCTATTTTACACCTATTCCCAGTTACTTGTATTAAAATTTTCCTCCAGCCATAATAAGCTATCTTTTCTTTCATGTAAGGAATGTATGAGGTGAGACACAGGAGAGACATAGACCCTACTGAAGGGGAATATTTTTAATTTTTCACCTCAAAGCCCTTTACAAACTCTCATTAATTTAAATTCCTTCCACACCCCTGATGAATAACTTAAGTGGAATGTCACACTCAAGATCTTTGTATCTCACTTGGTTCTCTGAGTTTAGGACTAAGCCAGATCCCACTGTGCATTAAAATTTCAGTGAAGGATTCCTGACAACCCCATCTGCAGAATGGTCATAGCCTATTTATTCTTTAGAGAGAACTGATGTCTAAACAGATGCTGCAGAGAAGTGCAGGAAACAAAATCGGGCTCTCCCAAAGATACCAGAATTGTGACTATGGGAGCCTAGGGACTGGAAATGTGGGGTTTTTTCAGCATTGTAATTTACACTCTGAAAAACAAAGTGATGTTTATCTCGTCCCCACTCCTTGTACTTCTAATGAGTCTTCCCTTTTAAGCTTCTTTCCCCAGCAACTTTTGAATTCGCCCCCATTGAAGCTGCTTTCCATGTCTTGCTCTACCTCCAGTCTCCCATGGTATAGTGAGATTTCCAGAGGACATTAATGGGTGGAGCTCCAGCAAAGGACCTTCACAGGGGTTTAGATCTTCACCTTAATTTGGGCGTTGCCACTTGTGATCACCCCAGTCTTGAGGAGGTGGGGTTTCTGAAGCAGCACCAGATGTTGTGTTAGCTGTACAGTGTAGGAGAAACTGAAATCTGGAGCCTACAAATGCAGCTTGGTCAATGAAAAGCAGTTTAGGCTGGGCTTCTGAGGAGATGAGGTAGGGCAGTAAAGGAAGCACCTGGAGTCTGGAATGTTGAGCTGCAGGTCTCCCCCACATCTACTTGTCTGCTAGCTCTGGTTTCCAGAACTCACCCCACAACTAGTGCACCTTTATCTGCTAGAGACAGCCATTATTAAGAAATCCTTTAGTGAGCCACATACAAAGGTTCTTTGGTCTTTTAAGTGCTCAGTAGGCCATAGTTTTGGGGAACTATATAAAATGTTGGGAGATAGGATGGACTTCTAGATCAGAGCAGACAGTACGCCCAGTGAATTATTCAACTGAGGCAAATACAGAACATTATTGTTTCTGTGAAATGTTGAGCTAAGGAAGGTTCCTGGGAATGTGCTAATCAAGATAAATTTTATGAATCAAAACATTACTGAAATTTTAAATAAACCTGTCATGCAATTTATTCAGGAAAAAAAAAAAAAAGTAGCAAATCCTGAATGTCTTACTTGGCCTCAAATAAAGAAAAGTTAAATTGAGTTCACAGTTACGGCTCCCTTATGAATTACACTTACATGCTCAATATGTGGACATGAATTTCAACATATAGATTTTCTTCCTCATTCTTTCCTGCTTGATGTGGAGATTTGCCCTCTGTGTAAATCACTGGCAAGAGTAAGAAGTTCAGCTCACTGACAATGCCTATCATCCTTTATTCAATTATGCCTTTTATAATCTGGCTTCCTCTCTTTCCGTTGCTTGATATCCTCCCTGAAATCTATCTGTTGCCAATATGCTGAAAGAAATGCCTCACTGAAAAGCTGTCAGGCTCATAACTATCTCCACACTTGGAAACCTCGGCTGAATGCATATTAAAGGATACGGATTTTCTCTGCATAGATATCAGGTGCTGTAAATTCTAGGCTTTTTATGGTGCAGAGCTGGCATACAGACATATTTTTTAGAAAAGTAACACTTTACTCCAAGACTTCTCATGTGGAGACAGGACCTGTCTGTCATAACACGCCCCAGCAGCCAGCTCTGCAGGCAGAACCTGATAGGGTACTTAATCCTCCAGATCCATTCTTGGGATCCGTAAATATTAAACTAGCTTTAAAATGATAGAAGGGGCTTAAGCTTAAGTCCTGCCAGGCAACATTAGAATAACTGTGAAGTTAGTCAGAGGATCAAATATGTTTTTATACGCCACTTTAAGTAATCATCCCTCCCCTAAATTAAATAAACGCGTGTTTCATTGAAAACAAAAACTCCTGCAGAGACAAGTTTTGAACTGTCCCTGCGTGTTTAACTCGGGGGAGGCAGGTCCTGTTTTGACTCACCTGCCTGCAACCAGCTTCCCGGGAGGATCCCTGCCTGCAATCAACCAGCTTCCCGGGAGGATCCCTGCCTGCAATCAACCAGCTTCCCGGGAGGATCCCTGCCTGC